TGCTGCTGCTGCTGCTGCTGCTGCTGCTGCTGCTGCTGCTGCTGCTGCTGCTGCTGCTGTGTCTCTGTCTCCTCATCTCTTGTTTGTCTCTGTTTTCTTCTTTCTCTACGTCTCTCTGTTCTCTCTCCTTTCTCTCTCTCTCTCTCAGCTTGTGTTTTTATCTGTCTCCTTTTGTCTTTATATACTTTTGCTTTTGCCTTTGTTTGTATCCTGTCTCTTTGTTTGTCTTTCTTTATCTCTTTGTCTCTGTCTCTGTCTCTGTCTCCTTCTCCTTCTGTCTGCTGCTTTTGTCTCTGTCTCCCTTTGTCTCTGTCTCTCTGTCTCTCTGTCTCTCTTTGTCTTTGTCTTTGTCTTCATATCTCTGTCTTTATATTTATATCTTTGTTTGTATATTTTTGTCTCGCTCTGTATTTTCTCTCCTTCTCTGCTTGTTGTTTTTGTCTTCTTCTTTCCCTTCCTGGGCTCTCTCTCCGCTGTTGCTGTTGCTGCTGCTGCTGTCGCTGTTGCTGTTGCTGCTGTCGCTGTTGCCGCTGCTGCTGCTGCTGCTGCTGCACAGACCAACCACGGCAACAGCTGACTTTCTTCTACTGCTGCAGCTTCAGGTGCAGCAACTGCTGCTGCAGCGGTGTCGCCAAGCCTGCTGCTGCAGCAGTCGCCGCTGGCTCTGCTGCCGCTGCTGCTGCAGCGGTTGTGGTCTCTGCTGCTGCTGCTGCTGTTGCTGCTGCCTCTGAAGCACCTACGGCTCCCGGCAGAGTTACTGCTGCTGCTGTTCTTTGAGTTACTGCTGCTGTCGCAGTCTTCTCAACCCCGTCTGCTGCTGTTGCTGCTGCTGCTGCAGTCGCTCTTGCTGTAGGCACTGCCGTTGCCCGTGCAGCAGCTAATGTTGCTGTTGCTGCTGCTGTTGCTGCTACTGTTGCTGCTGCTGCTGCAACAATGAAGAAACAAAATCTCTTCATCCACACTTCAATGTTTGTATTTCATCTGCAACGAGAAAATGCTGCTGCTGCTGCTGCTGTGCCCACTGGGCATGCAGCCGACTGCGCCTCCAGCAGCAGCAGCAGCAGCAGCTGCTGCTGCTGCTGCTGCTGCTGCTGTTGCTGCTGCTGTTTCTGATGCTACTGCTCAGGATACCGATCCACCCCCCACAGCAGCAGCAGCAGCAGCAGCTTTTAATCGAAGAAATTTGCGTGTCTTCGTATTTTGCTGCGGATGGAGCCGTTTTTTTCTCTCTTGCTGCTGAGCCCCTAAACCCCCGTCTTCATCGGCGATGCCCTGGGGTTTAGGGTTTAGGGTTTAGGGTTTAGGGTCTAGAGTCTAGGGTTTGATATTTGGCTGCTGTGATGGCCGTCTTACACCTCTTCAGAAGAAGGTAACGGCATACGGAGCTGCAACAGCAGCAGCAGCAGCACGCAGCAGCAGCAGCAGCAGCAGCAGCAACAGCAGCAGCATGCAGCAGCAGACATTTGCGCTGCTGCAGCATTGACTATGGAGTCCTCCTACCCTTTGTTGGTGGCAGAGACCCGCTTGTCTGTGGGGATCCCCAATAGCTGCTGCTGCTGCTGCAGCAACTCTGTCTGCAGCAGCAGCAGCAGCAGCAGCAGCAGCAACGACTTCGGCCGTCAGCAGGAGCAGCAAGGGAAGAGATTTATTGGCCTGGATTTGCTGCCATCTCACCACGTCTCAATGTGAGCTGTAACACGCTTTGCTGCTGCTGCTGCTGCTGCAGTTGCTGCAGCAGCTGCTGCAGTTGCTGCTGTTGCCACTGGGTGAACTGTTGCTGCTGCTGATTGTGTGATGCTTGATATCGGAGGCTGCAGCAGCTGCTGCAGCAGCTGCTGCTGCTGCGGCTGCTGCTGCTACACCATCGACTCCTGTTTCAACTGTTTTGATATGTATACGCTTTGCGCCGCTGCTGTTGCTGCTGCTCTGCTGCTGCTGCTGCGCTTGCTCTGCTGCTGCTGTTCTGCTGTTGCTGCAGCGAGGTGCGGCCCAGAGAGCTGCGAATTTGGGACTCGTCTCCTCCTGCTGCAGTCTCGGTGCAGACAGACAATGCAGGAGCAGCAGCAGCAAGCAGCGGAGCAGCAGCAGCAGCTGCTGCTGCTGCCGAAGCAGCATCAGCAGCAACGGCAGCAGCAAGGGGACGTCTGCTAGGTAGGGTGCAGCTGCCGCTGCAGCTGGATGTGCGCACCGCTGCTGCTTGCGTTGTTGTAGCTGACAGCAGCAGCAGCAACAGCAGCAACAATAGTAGCAGCAGCAGCAGCGAGAAGGGCACTGCAGCAGCAGCAGCAATCACTAGCTGCTGCTGCAGCAACGCCGTTGTCTTTGCTGCCTTTGTTGCCGGGAAGCGGCAGCTCCTGCGGCTGCTACTGACGCTACATGGCTGCTGCTGCAGCACTCGTGCTGCTGCTGCTGCTCCAGTTGAGCAGCAGCACGAGAGTTTGCTGCAGCTCGGAGCAGTCTCCGTCTCGGGTGTATATACAGCCTGTCTCTGTTGGTGCATCTCATCGGCAGCAGCAGCAGAAACAGCAGCAGCAACGGCAGCAGCAGCAGCAGCAGCAGAGGATACAGAAGACTACAGCGAACCTCCTGCTTTGAAGAAGAGACGAATTGCCGACCCAGCAGCAGCAGCAGCAG